GAGTTCTGGCTAAAAAAAAAAAAAAAAAAAAGTTTAATAAAAAAAAAAATATGCCCACAGACTTTCATGCTTGAGGCACCATCTACTGGCCATAAGCTATTACTACTACTTTTAATCTGTGGTTTTTCCCTAAGAGTTGGTGATCCTGCTCAGACACATTAGCACCAACTGTACAGCCTTTGTTAGGCTCATATCCTAACCAATACTGACTGATACATATGTAAATACAAACATGGAAATACCAATTAGTCTCTCCCTAGCTCTTGTAAAGCATGTGCAGAGATAGCAATGAAGGTTAACAAAATCATTTCCCAAATAACTCCTTGGTACTTTCGTTTTTTTGTTATCTAGGCACCAAGTATAGTTCTTTGTTCTAACTAAAGAAATCTTTCTCTAATTAATACCTATTTCCCTCAAGTGGGACAATTCATGGTAGGGAACAATTGGTCCCAAAAGCACACATTAAAAGCATTTACCTTTTCCACCCTAGCATATTTCTTGATGTCAATCTCCTTCCGACCATTCTCCTCAAACTGTACAGTCTTGACAGCATCAAATGCAATGTTGCAAGCCAAAGAGGACCACCGACTGATTGCTTTGGTAGTAATGGAGCTGTTGATGATGTTCAGCATCATATCACGGTTATTGATGTCGACAGGGGTACTAGAAAAACAGAGAAATAGTTTGCTCAGTAGGTATCTTGGCTATTTGAAAGAAGTCTCTAATGTATATCCCACTATATAGAGAATTAAGGGAATTTTTGTGGGAAACTTACCTATCCCAGAAAGGTGTTCAAATGCCTTAGTAATCCATTCCCATGTCTGACAACTCTCTACATTTAGATATAAAGCTACATTAAAATAATTTATTCTTTATTTTTTGCTTCAATCAAATTAACCCTTCAACTTTTTTATTTTAATTTTATTTTGATTTGGGTGAAGATTTACAGAGTAAATTCACTTTTCATACAGCAGTTCACATATACTTTGTCTCATGTCATT